TTTATAATCAAATATTCAGAATTCTGAATACTTTCTGATTAAATGAAGGTAGAGAAGTGGGAAGGATAACACACTAAGGTCTCCAACCATTGTGCAAAGTCTTTGTTCTTACTCTTGACTGTATAACATATCGGTTTTAAAGTAAACTTTCTTTGATAATGAAGGATCTTGTGATGCCCCAGGATCATAATTAATATATATGATTTTATAGTTCTAATAACTTTATTTAACAAATATTCGTTGACAAATATTCCCAGTTCTAGACACTGGGATTACAACAGGGCACAAAAACAGAATTCTCACTCTTATTATGCTTACATGTTCTGGTGTTTAAAACACTCTTTTTTTTTTTTTTTGAGACGGAGTCTTGCTCTGTAGCCCGGGCTGGAGTGCAGTGGCCGGATCTCAGCTCACTGCAAGCTCCGCCTCCCGGGTTCCCGCCATTCTCCTGCCTCAGCCTCCGGAGTAGCTGGGACTACAGGCGCCCGACACCTCGCCCGGCTAGTTTTTTGTATTTTTAGTAGAGACGGGGTTTCACCGTGTTAGCCAGGATGGTCTCGATCTCCTGACCTCGTGATCCACCCGTCTCGGCCTCCCTAAGTGCTGGGATTACAGGCTTGAGCCCCCGCGCCCGGCCAAAACACTCTTACATCACTTTGTGTTCTTATAAAATATTTTGCTTAAAGAAAGGAGTATTGGAAAATATTTTGGGTTACTTGTTGGTTTTAGTTAATTGACTTTTGATTAATTGAGCTTTTTATTGTATAGTAGATACTACTTTGACATTTTCTGTGAATTGTGAAGATGATGATAATGATTATGATGACAATGATCTCTTTGGTAAAATTGTTTCTTCCTGAGCAAGTATTGGATTTTCTTTATACATTGATAACAGTTTGACCTACCAAGTGTGGCAGGTCCCTGTGTTTGCCGGGGAAACATAGCAACAGTGTTTTGTCAGTTCTGTTTTACTTTTTCATGAGAATTACAGCTGGCTTATGAGCCTATAAGGATAATTATTATTTTCTTCGACGGTTGCTTTGACAATATTAAAGTCTCAAAGTGGTATTTCAGGGGAAGAGATTAAAGAAAGATTAATCATTTTAAGTTTCTTTGTCTCTTTCAGCAAGTTGATGGTTCTCTCTTTGTGAACTTAGAGATCACATAAGAATATTATCAACTAGTATTTGTATAACTTTTCACAGCCTTCAATATTGCCTTGTACATATTTTTCATTACCTTCTCATCGAGACTTATTACAATAGGCAGGGCAGGTATTATTATCTCCACTTTACAGAAGAGAGGACCCTGCAACTCAGAAAGATTTTTTTGTCAGGGTTTCACAGGTAATTTGCTACAGAGCTAGGGCTAGAAACTAAGTCCTTGTGGAAGAAGTGATTGCTGTTTTCAGGCACTGGCTGTTTCTCTTTGGCAGAGCAGGCACAGCCCATTCTAGAAGTTACACAACTTCCTGAGCATTGTTAAATGTTAAAAAAACAAACTTAGCCCTATAATTAAATACTGAGATGGACAGAGTGAGATGAAAAACATTATTATGGAAAATGTTTATTTTAAATTTATTTTTACCATGCTATATAACAGATCTCTAGACCTTATTCCTCCTAACTGAAACATTGTATCCTTTGACCAACATGTACGCTGCCCGATAATGGAAAACATTATTTTAAAGCAAAGGTGCTGACACAAATGATTTTTGATATTAAACAGACTCCTATTTTAAAAATATGACTTTTTTCATTTAGAAGTATATTAGGAGGAAATATAGATAAACACAAAGAAGAAAACAAAAATACCGATGATCCCATCACTAAAAACTTGATGTTTAACATTAAAGTGCTTATTATTTCTATGTACATATATACACTTTTAAAATAAAATGGTATGATACTATAAATATTACTTCACAATTTGCTTTTTCTGCTTTAAATTTTATTTTTAAATTTCTATCTATCTATCTATCTATCTATCTATCTATCTATCTATCTATCTTTCTACCTGTCTAGAGACCAGGTTATGAGACTGGCTAATTTTTGTATTTTTTGTAGAGATGAGGTTTCGCCATGCTGCCCAGGCTGATCTCAAATTCTTGGGCTCAATAGAGCTGCCCGCCTCAACCACCCAAAGTGCTGGGATTACAGGTGTGAGCCACCACGCCTGGCCACAATTTGCTTTTTCTACTTAGCAATATATCATGAACATTTCTTCAAGTTGTTCGGAAGAATATGAGAAAAAATATTGAACTATATAATTTTATTCTAAAATTAATGTGTTCACTCTGTAAAATTGATATAAAACAGAAGTATATAATCCTACTGTCCAGAGGTAGCTATATAGTTTAGTGCCTACTCTTCTGCACTTTTTTTTTTTTTTAAAACAAATCCTGAAGTTAACTGGTTGGTGGATTAGAATACCTTCTTTAGAAAAAGTTTGAGCTAATGAAGAAAAGAGCATCATTTATTTTACAAAGGTATGTATTTTACTTTAAATTTCATTATAGCAAATAATATGTAAATAACAAATACATCATTTGTAATAATCTTTAGGGGCATTCACACAGAATACTACTCTGGAAACCACCAGCATGCGGGAGCCTTCTGTATGTTGAATAATCTTTGGCCATCTTCAAGTAATACCTCAGTGGTGTGTGAGTGCTCTAAGCTGCATACTATATAACTATCCTTGTTTAAAGACGGTGCTTTAGGCCAGGCGCAGTGGTTCACGCCTGTAATCCCAGCACTTTGGGAGGCTGAGGCGGATGGATCACCTGAGGTCAAGAGTTCAAACCAGCCTGGCCAACATGGTGAACCACCCCACACCCCATCTCTATAAAAATATAAAAATTAGCCGGCCGTGATGGTAGGTGCCTATAATCTGTAATCCCAGCTACTCAGGAGGCTGAGGCAGGAGAATCACTTGAACCAGGGAGGTGGAGGTTGCAGTGAGCTGAGATCATGCTACTGCACTCCAGCGTGGGTGACAGACAAAGACTCCCTCTCAAAAAAAAAAAAAAAAAAAAAAAAAAGATGGTGCTTTAAAGTCTGTGTACTATATCAGCCTTTCAGACTGGATTTCTCAATTCAGTTTGTAATTTTATCCAGAAGTAGTTTACTGCTTGGGTGATGTAATACAACCTATATGTGAGCCATAAACTGGTAAACAAATATTTGTTGTAAAATGACTTACGGGATTTACAGGTTATTAAAGTACACAAATGACTTTAGTAGATGGCAGGATTTTATGCTTCAGAAAGGTAAAATTAAATTGTAGTTAATAGTCAGAGGACTATAGTCAGAGGTACATAGTTACTTGTGGGACAATAATAATGCTTGACACCTAGTAGGTATTTCTTAAATATGTGTTAAATATTGAATGAATTAAAGAACCCAACTCAAAAAAGCAGACCAAGAATATAAACATGTAATTCACAGAGAATAAATCCAAATGATTAATAAACACATGAGAGTTTGTCTAACTTCACTAGTAAATGTGAATCAAAAACCATAGGGTAAAAAATGCTCACCCATCAGACTGAGGAAAACTTTAAAATCTGACAACATTAAATGTTGGTCAGAGTATGGGAAAAAATGATATACTTCCATAGGTCTAGCAGAATTCAAAATGATACAGTAACTTTGGGCAGCAATCTGGCTGGCTCTGGTGAACTGAAACTAGGACTAGCAGTTCCACTTCTGGAAACATACATGAGAACCACTCTTGCACATGTGACTAAGGAGACTTAGTCTCCTAAATCTAGGGATTTTTATTACAGCATTGTTAGTAAGAGCAAAGACATGGAAACAACCAATCCTTCATTAGTAGAAAAGAAATAAAAATAGAAAAGGGGAACAAAATATTATGTATTTATACACTAGAACAATATTGTAAAATGAAATAGCTCTATGTATATTAGCATAGATAATTTCCAAAATGGTTTCAAGTGAAAAAAGCACAAGTTGCAGAATTATGCATAGAGGAAGATATTGCTTTGGAAACTTAAAATACACGTGCAAACCTTTACATTGGTTATGAAAGCTTATATAGGTGCGTAAAAGGATGAAGAATTACCCTGAAGGATATACACCAAACTCACAGTAGTGACTGCACCTAGGGAAATAGGAAAGGGACTGGCAGGTTACAGGTTTTTTGTTGTTGTTGTTTGTTTGTTTGTTTGTTTGTTTGTTTTTTCAGACAAAATATTGCTCTGTTGCCCAGGCTGGAGTGCAATGGCGTGATCTCAGCTCACTGCAACCTCCACCTCCCAGGTTCAAGTGATTCTCCTGCCTCAGCCTCCCCAGTAGCTGGGACTACAGGCGCGTGCCACCATGCCCGGCTAATTTTTGTATTTTTAGTAGAGATGGGGCTTCACCATGTTGGCCAGGCTGGTCTGAAACTCCTGACCTCAAATGATTTGCCCACCTTGTCTTTCCAAAGTTTGCTGGGATTGCAAGCGTGAGCCACTTTGACTGGCCGCGGTTTGTTGAAAGAACTTTAAATATAAAGTTTTATTTTTTTCACATGCCATAAAAGGACTGACAATCAATTTGACAGAAGTCAACAGTTGTTAATTCCTGGTGGCAGAAATATGAATGATATAATTCATATTTTATAGTTCATATAAAATGAATATATGAATATTTCATAATTCATATATAATGATTTGCTGTTTTGCATTTTGAAATGGGGGTCACTATATTTATTCACTAAGTAATTAATTTATATGATACAACATTCAAAGTGTATAAAATATATACAGTGAAAGATATTTTCCCTTCCACTCCAATTGTCCAGTCCCATACTTCCCCTTCCTCAGAGGCAGACAATCACTGTTACCACTTTCTGGTTGCATTTTTCCAGAGAGATTCTCCCCACTCCTTTATGCACAGCACACACACACACGCAAATATAGATATTTACACATATATGTATATTTCCTACAAATGGTAGCATACCAATTTTTTTTTTTTTCTTTTTTTTTTGAGACAGAGTCTCACTCTTCACCCAGGCTGGAGTGCAGCGGCACAATATCGGCTCACTGCAGCCTTTGCCTCCTGGGTTCAAGTGAGTTTGGGCTAATTTTTGTATTTTTAGTAGAGATGGGATTTCACCATGTTGGCCAAGCAGGACTTGAACTCCTGATCTCAAGTGATCCACCCACCTTGACCTCCCAAAGTGCTGGTATTACAGGCGTGAGTTTAAGGATTTCCAATACCTTTTTTTCCTTCCCGAAAGAGGTCCCATAGATGGAATACAATATAGTATATAAAATATAAAAATAACAAGCTACCAGAGGTAGGAAGACAGGAAAAGGGAGGGAAGAAGGGAGATTGAGACTGTGGCAGAAGAAACAACAATAATTCAGCAGACAATGGAGAAATCTTTTTTTTTTTTTAATGGAGTTTCGCTCTTGTTGCCCAGGCTGGAATGCAATGGCACAATCTCCGCCCACCACAACCTCCACTTCCCGGGTTCAAGCTGTTCTCCTGCCTCAACCTCCCGAGTAGCTTGGATTACAGGCATGTACCACCACACTGGACTAATTTTGTATTTTTTTAGTAGAGACGCGTTTTCACCATGTTGGTCAGGCTGGCCTCGAACTCGCGACCTCAGGTGATCCACCTGCCTTGGTCTCCCAAAGTGCTGAGATTACAGGCGTGAGCAGTAATCCTCGAAGGAGATAATTTTGTCAGTTGTGGGGTTGGGGGAGGTGGTGGTGAGATCAGGGTATTGAGTACCCCAGCTATGCTTTTCCTGTGGGCTTGCCTTGTGCTGGCTGTGTTCTTCAATGTTAAGTCACTGTCCTGATAGTTATTCTGCGTAACTCCTCCTCCATCCAGGGCCACACCAAATTCTTCTTCTTGTCCTTGGATCCCAGTGGTAGTAACAGTTTGGTTACTTCTAACCCGAGGTTACTGCACCATCCTTTGTGGTTTCCCTATACTAATATCTTTGTAAATAGTCTCTTTGGAAATAACCTCTTCCAAAATTATCTTGAGTGTGCTTTTCTTTTTGGTTGGGACCCTGACTGGGAACCTCCTTCAAAAGTATTACTTATCTATTACATATCCTTTTTGTCTTATTCACTGTAGTATTAATTTCTTGAAGGCATATATCATATATTTTGTTAATATCTGTATTCATAGCATTGAGTACACTTCCTGTGGCTAGCAGGTATTGATAAATATTTTTGTCTTGAGAAGCAAGAATGGAAGGAATGATGGAAGATGGTAGGATTATAGTCCCAAGCAGGTTTTTAAAAATCTTAGTTTGGGCAGGGCGTGGTGACTTATGCCTGTAATCTCAGCACTTTGGGAGGCCGAGGCAGGTGGATCACCTGAGGTCAGGAGTTCAAGACCAGACTGGCCAACAAGGTGAAACCCCGTCTCTACTAAAATACAAAACTTAGCTGAGTCTGGTGGTGCACACCTGTAATCCCAGCTACTAGGGAGGCTGAGTCAGGAGAATTGCTTGAACCCACGAGGTAGAGGTTGCAGCGAGCTGAGATTGTGCCACTGCACTCCAGCCTGGGCAACAGAGCAAGACTCCATCTAAAAAAAAAAAAAACAAAAAAACTTAGTTTGGTTTCCTAAAATTTTCTCATTTCTCCCAGTCTCCAAATCAGTTCAGTAACCATTTTCTCTGTTTCTGCTCTATGGAAATCACTTCTCTAGGAGTGGGGTTCTGGCTAGTGATTCGGGCATGGCTCGTGCCTCCAGAAATTTGTCTCAGTGAAGGGACCAGCGTGGCTAAAGTTTCTTAAAGCAGGAGGTGTCTCTTGGGGGTGGAAGATGGAAGTGGGATCTGACACTAATGGAGGAGGCGTGGAAAAGCTTCTGTGGCTATAGGAAGAGGATTAATGAGCAGTATTAAGAGCCAAGTTGAGACTCCATAGCAGGAACTTATAGTGCATCTAATCCACTTTACATTACACAAAACTACTATATTAGCCTTCCTAAAGTAAATCTGGGGTGATTTCATGCTCTTGCCTTAAAATGACTCTTCATTTCATGTAGAAAGAAGAATGAGCCCCTATTTTGATGCAGTGCTCTTACTTTCACAGACCTGTTTCTTATTTTTTCTCTGTGTAGAAATTAAACTAGTTTAATTTCTGTTCTCCAGATGGGCTTCCACAGGAATTCCATAGGAATATCTCCTGCCTCTATGTCTGTTGTGGGAAATCAGGGACCCCAAACGGAGGGATGGGCTAAAGTTGCAGCAGAAGAACATAAATTGTGAAGATTTCATGGACATTTATTAGTTCCCCAAATTAATACTTTTATAATTTCTTATGCCTGTCTTTACTGCAGTCTCTGAACATAAATTGTGAAGATTTCATGGACACTTATCACTTCCCCAGTCAATACCCTTGTGATTTCCTATGCCTGTCTTTACTTTAATCTCTTAATCCTATCATCTTCATAAGCGGAGGAGGATGTATGTTGTGTCAGGACCCTGTGATGATTGCGTTAACTGCACAAATTGTTTGTAGAGCATGTGTGTTTGAGCAAGATGAAATCTGGCACCTTGAAAAAAGAACAGGATAACAACAATGTTCAGGGAACAGGAGAGATAAGACTTTGGACTCTGACTGCTGGTGAGCCAGACGGAATAGAGCCATATTTCTCTTGTTTCAAAGGCAAGTAGGAGAACTATCGCTGAATTCTTTTTCTCAGTGAGGAACATCCCTGAGAAAGAGAATGTGCCCTGAGGGTAGGCCTATAAATGGCCCCCAGGGGGCCGCCGCCTTTTACGGTCAAAGTCAAAGGGATGAAATAAGCCCTGGTCTCCTGTAGCACTCCAAGGCTTAGTAGGATGAGGAAATTCCCACCTAATAAATTTTGGTCAGACAGCTTGTCTGCTCTCAAACCCTGTCTCCTGATAAGATATTATCAATGACAGTTCAAGCCCGAAACTTCATTAGCAATTTTAATTTTGCCCCATCCTGTGGTCCTGTGATCTCGCCCTGCCTCCATTTGCTTTGTGATATTTTATTACCTTGAGAAGCATGTGATCTCTGTGACCCACACCCTATTGGTGCACTCCCTCCCCTTTTGAAGATTGCCAGTGAAAACTTGCTGGTTTTATGGCTCAGAGAGCGTCACGGAACCTGCCGACATGTGATGTCTCCCCCAGCTTTAAAATTTCTCTCTTTTGTACTCTTTCCCTTTATTTCTCAGACCAGCCAAGACACTTAGGGAAATAGAAAAGAACCCATGTTAAATATCAGGGGTGGGGTTTCCCCCAATATATATCTTTACGCATGAATTCCCATTTGCCTGGAATAGGAAGCCTTTCTCTTGCCCTGTTTCCACCTGATAAATCCTACTTACCCAGGCCCCTTATTTTCTGTTTGCTCTTGAATTTATTGTTTCAGGAGGTGTCTCCCATGGTGATTTCATCTTCCAACAGAGAGTATCTCCCTTTCTAATCCCAGATCCTGTTGACCATTCCTGACTTTAAGCAGCCTCTTGCATTTATGCCTCCTGCTCTTGGGGTAGTAGGAGTATCCTATTATTGTTAATCTCACTGTTTCCTCACTGTCCTCTGTTTAACGTTACTAACACTTTTGTAACTAATGCTCTGTATTAAATTCCTTCTATTGAACTACCTGATGTTAGCCGCTTTTCTGATTGGCTGATTTCTGATTCACTGTGTTAGATTCACTGTGTTAGCACACCTGATTGAAAGACTGTGCTTCAAGATCCAACTCCATCTTCTTCGTGGACCTTTTCTCATTATGTGGCTGAAAAAGATTTAAAAAAACTCCCCTAGAATATTAAAAAATCTGTTATTTCAACAATCATATTTTTCTTATGACATTGTAAAAATATATACTAATTTCTAAACAAAGTATATCAGAAATTGGGGAAAGGATGATTGACAATTACAAATAATTATCTAAGTTTTCCTTGTAGATGCCAAATACTTGTTCATTTTAGTACTCTTGGCTTGTTCCCCTGTAGTCCTCTGCTACACTACTAGTTGTAAACTCTTTTGGGGGCATACTCATCTTTGGATTTGTTCCTTATCCAACTGGCAGAGAACTCTGTGCATTGTACATGTGTGCTATTTATTGAGTTGGGTACAGACTCGTTGCTTGGCATGTGTATTTTTTCTTTTTTCGAGACAGAGTCTCGCTCTGTCAGCCAGGCTTGAGTGCAGTGGTGTCATCTTGGCTCACTGCAACCTCTGCCTCCTAGGTTCAAGTGATTTTCCTGCCTCAGCATCCCAAGAAGCTGAGACCACAGGCACCCACCACCACACCCAGCTAATTTTTTGTATTTTTAGTAGAGACAGGGTTTCACTGTGTTAGCCAGGATGGTCTCAATCTCCTGACCTTGTGATCTGCCTGCCTTGACCTCCCAAAGTGCTGGGATTACAGGTGTGAGCCACCATGCCCAGCCATATTCTTAATTTTCATTTTATATTCCAGTTGTTCTTTGCTATTATATAGAAGTAAAATTCATTTTTACATTGACTTTACAGTCTTGCAACCTTGCTAAATTCACTTATTTGTTCTAATCAGTTTTTTCTAGATGCCAAAGAATTTATTTTATGGTTGACTACATACACTATTATGTCATCTGCAAGTAACTAGTTTTACTTCTTTTCCAATTCAGATGCTTTGTATTCTTTTTCTTGCCTTATTGCAAGTGCTAGAACCTCCAGTGCAATGTTGACTACTTCTAGAATATCCTTGTCTTATTCTTGACCTTAGGAAGAAAATGTTCAGTCTTTCATCATTAAGTATAATGTTAACTGTAGTTTCTTTTTTTTGTTGTTTTGTTTTGTTTTGTTTTGTTTTTTGAGACAGAGTCTGGTTCTGTCGCCCAGGCAGGAGTGCAGTGGCAAGATCTTGGCTCACTGCAAATTCTGCTTCCTAGGTTCAAGCGATTCTCCTACCTCAGCCTTCTGAGTAGCTGGGATTACAGGTGCTTGCCACTGTGCCTGGTTAATTTTTGTATTTTTAGTAGAGACAGGGTTTCACCATGTTGGCCAGGCTGGTCTCCAACTCCTGACCTCAAGTGATCCACCCACCTTGGCCTCCCAAAGTGCTGGGATTACAGGTGTGAGCCACCACACCTGGCCAATGTTAACTGTAGATTTTTTGATACATGCTGTTTATTGGGTTGAGGAAGTTCCCTTCTATTTCTGGTTTGCCAAGAATTCTAGTTATAAATGTTTGG